TTTTTTGTTCATCATAATATTTTTTTGGTCAAATTTGCTTTTAATTTTTTGTTTTTACAAAATTTTACTTTTGACCTTAAATTTAAATGTTTATACATGTGGTTTTATTGCAAATGATGTCTCTCTAAAATTGATATCAATTTTTAAAATGTATAACATTTTTGGATAGATTTATGCATACGAACTTTAATGTCTAATGTTAATGTTGCATAAAGTAGTATAGACTCGGATTTATTTAATTTCATGTGTTTCTAACATGTTTACTTATATTTGTTGAAATTTAATAATTTTAATTGTCAAGCTTTTAAAGTCAAATTTTCTTTGGAATGCATTTGTTGAGGGGGAGCTTTTGATTTTTCAAATAGATTTTATGTTAAAGTTTTTTGCTTAATCTCCATTATTGTTTTTGAACTTAAATGTTTGAATTATTTTTTATATAACAAAAAGGGGGAAAAGTATATGTTTGAAAATTTTAAATTTCAAGAATGAAAAGGATGAGCTTAAAAACTTTCCAAAATATTTCTTTTTTTCATTTGATGCTTTATTAGGGGGAGTTGTGCCAAAGTTCATTTTCAAATATTTTGTTATATCAAAAAGGGGATATTGTTGAACCTATTTTGATATAACAAATTAAAGAGGTAAAATGTTTTTTAACTTGATTGAATTTATTCAAAGTTTTCAAAATTAATTCAAAGTCCATAAAACTTGAATTTGAACACAAAAATGATTTTCTTGAAAAGAAGTATTGATATTGTTTTTATAGTATTGATACCACATGAACAATATCGATATTGTTCTTGTAGTATTGATACTCACGGTAAGGAAAGTATTGATACTCTATTGGCAGTATCGATATTGCCTATTTGTTTTAAATGTGTTCAGATTCATGTAGGTATTTTTGGTATCAATACTTAAAGTAGTATCGATATAGTAGTATCGATACCATGACCTCACTACTTATACTCTCAGCCCAACGGTTGAAAAATGACTAGTTTTAATTAGTGCAATATTGATACTCCAATCCCGAGTATCGATACTTTCTGGTCTGAGCAGTTTTACTTTGAAGCAATTAAGTCATCAACGGCTCCAAAACATCTTCAAAGGTTAGAAACGGTCACAGACACATTCCAACATATAAAATGAAGTTAAGATTCTTGAAGAAGGTTACACAACACCTATCCAAGCATCAATTATCAAGAGAAAGTCTTTCATTCTTTATTCTTCATTTTCTCTTGTAAATAGTGTGTTTTAGTGAGCTTAATTTGTAAACATCATCCTTTGAGAGGTTTCTTGTTTGTATTCTTTTTATCCTTTTTAAAAAAGGTTGGTTTATAGTTTAGCCATTGAAAATTAAGGAGTTGTAAAAGGTTACTCTTGAACCTAGAAAAAGAAAGAACAAATTAGTGAATTTATTAAAAATCCTTAGGGTGGAGCTAAGGTAGTGGATGTAAACTTCATTGAGAAAGTTGAACCACTCTAAATACTTGTGAAAATTTTCTATCATTTCTCTCCATACTCCCAAATTTTTTATTTAGCTAATTCACCCCCTCTTGACACTTTTTCAGTTGATCGATAGATCATCATAAATCCCAACAATCACAATCAACATGAAAGTCAATTACAAAAAATACACATTTCAAAGCACATGTTAATACCTTCACTAACATCATAGGCGCATATTAGCATAAAATTGCCAAAAGTGCAATTAATGCATATTTGATATAAGCTCCATTTCACATGATCAATACTAACTTTAACACTTTAAATTATAACTTCAATTCTCCTGATATCAATATTCATTCAGTAGTTCTATATTCATCTCAATTTTGCATTCTTGACTAATAAAATGAATTCTTTTAAAATTCAACCTAACTTTTCCAATTTATTTAAAATGGCCCCTTTACAATTTAACTTCACAATCAAGCTTCTAAAGGCATAATTAAACGTTTCAACATTTAATTTAAAGTTAGTAATCAACTATTGCGTAATTTCCATTTTAAACTTCTATTTTCCAAAATCTATGATTGAGTCCCTATACTTGTACAAACTTCCAAATCAATCGAAATTAACATTTAACATCAAAATCATCATTCTAACATTTAATTTCAGCATAATACATCAACCTTTAAACAAATGTATCTCAATCCCTCAATTTTCTAAATTATGTAAAAAAGTCCCTATAACTTTACAAAGTTCCAAATCGGTCCAAACAACTTTCCAAAGCATGTAGAATCATTCATACATCATTTCTAACCCTTGTATAATTGTTTATATAATTTTTTCTTAATATTTTCCTTTAGGACGAATGCCAAAGGTCACTTTGACATTGGTTGCAAACTTGATTCAAACATGGTTTCATCTCCTAAACATCATTTCTAATCAACTACAACCAATTACATATCAATTTCAATTCAAATCCAATCTTTCCATAAAAACCTAATTAACCAAACCTTGCTTCAACCATTTGCAATTGGTTTTAATCATCGTACAAGCTTGTAAATGAATAAACCATACCACTAACATCAAAATTCATCCTTAAATCATTAAAAATCAACTTCCCCTTCATCCAACATATTCATGAAACTAAGGATTTAAACAAGGAAAGTATGAATAATTGGTACCAAATGATAGAGAATTTCATGGAGATTAATTCTCTATTTCATGTCTTAATCCAAAAACCAAGTAATTAAGCTTGAAAATGAAAAATAATTTTTTTCTTACCTTGAAGAAGACTCACGGCATATAGGTTGAAGAAGAACAAAGTTTCATGAATTTTCTACTTAAAAATCTAATACGCTTGTCTTATAATCCAATTAAATGAATTAAAAAATTCATTTAATTGAAAATTACCAATTTACCATTAGTAAATCATTATAATTACTACCATGCCATTACCATGATATCATTCCTTACATCATCAAAGTCAAACATGGACAAAGATTTTCTCATCTTCTAATTTGCCCTTGCATTATTCCAAAAATTATAATCTTACCATTTTAATCTAACATTCCTGATTTAACATGGAAACCAACTTAAATCCAATTAGACAAGTTAAATTCTACTGGTAAAAAATATGGAAATAAAATTATTAACCTTATACTATCATCCTTCAAATTTTCCTAAATTTTAGATTTGATTTGATTATCCAAATATTTTACTCAACTTTATCACTTTATAGCTTTTTAATATAAATTTCGGATAAAAATATGATTCCTAAGAAAATGCCATTCTCGGGGGTGAACTATTCATTTACGATATAAAATTTTTCTATAAAATTACCATTTTGGTCTTGAACTTTTCACAAATTTATACTTTGACCACTAAACTTTCAAAATTTTGGGGCATTACATATGTGTCCACCCTAAAAAAATATTTATGGATCCGCCACTACAAGCCTGTATTGAGCAAAGGAAGCCCTCAAAGCTGGATACTTTTGGTAGATTGGGTTTGAAGGGAACACTAAAATGCACTTCGATCGTTGGGGAAGCTCCAAAGCAGTTGACCTCGCTAACACATTTGTGGACAACATTGATCAACCAACTAAGTGTAAGAATTTCATGATCCATGGCCAAACAAAATGGGATGAAGATAAGGTTCAGAAGATCTTCCCGACCAATGATGTGAGGTTAATCCTAAGTACTATTATCTTGCCACACGAAATTGATTACCTTATTTGGGAGCACCATAATATGGGCTGTTATTCAAGCAAATTAGGTTACAATTGGCTTCTCATGAAGGCTGGTACAGAGCGAGAGGAATCACCAATATGAAGGATTATTTCAAGATTGTCCTCATTTCCGAAAAGTAGAATTTTTAGATGGTGAGCTTGTCACGAAGCTCTTTTCACGGGACAGAAACTGGCGACTGTCGGGCAGAGTCAAGACACTTGTTCCATGTGCACATAGGAGGTCAAAACAACTATATATGCTCTGAAAGATTATCCAATGACCAAAGAAGTTCCTACCCTCTCGGGACTAGACAACAAGCTAATCAACTCCAACGCCTCAAGTTGTAAATCTTGGTTTGAAGGAGCGACAACACACCTAGATCGAACAGGTTTCACGAAATTTGTTAATCTCCTTTGGAATATTTAGAACCATCTTAGCAAATGGTTTTATGACAAAGAACTTCAACATAGCGAGAGGTGATCGATGCAGTTTGGGGCTGAAAAAAGAGTTTTACAAGGCATCTAAACCTCTCTTCACCATCACAAGACCGACTAGAATTAAACACGAGAAACCATGGACAAATTCTCAAGACAGGTGGATTAAGATAAATGTCGATGAAGCCTTCATTGTTCACACCGGAATTGCAGCAATTGTAGTGGTAGCGAGGGACCATAATGGCATGATAATATGTGGTGTTGCACGATGCTTGGGCAAGGGTCACACAGTTGAATCGACAGAGGTGTTGCCATTCAAGGAGGGATTTAAACTTGCAACTGAGAATGGAATGTGCATACTACGGTGGAGGGAGGTGCAATGTCCATTGTGAACAGATTCTTGAGCCAACAAATTGACGTTTCGTTTTAACGAGGTGTGCGCCATCCTTGTTGATTGCCCTAATCTCAAGGTTTGCTATGACAACCGAGAGGCTAACCAGGTTGCACATAACCAGTGACAAATTTAGAAATTTTTTTAAAGTGAACACATACATTAATTATTGAAAATTTTCGTATGGGTGGACAAAAATAAAATTTTAGGGTGGACACCCATAATAAAATAGACAATAATATAAAAAATTCGGATTCCATGCCCATAATCAAGTAAGGGTGTTTAATTTCTTGAACTCAATATTATATTTGATGATAAAATTATTAGACTATAAACATATTCAGCACATTATCAAGTATCTTAATGCATTTGTTAAATAATTGAAATATAAGATTTTGATGTATAATCAATAGAATATAAAATTATTTAAAAGAATAATTCACTAAATTGTCTTGATAAAATTTGCTATTATATCTGTTAAGTCTTGTTACATTTTAAAAGTGTTTCACAACATATAGTTAATTCCTAAATTAACAAATTAAGTCAATATTTGATCAATTCCATAAACATACCAAGTCTTCAATATCATCATAAGATTTGCAGCTTCCAAGTTGAATACTATCTGAAATCACTGACGATATCTCATTGTTGTTAAATGTCACTGCTAAGCTCTGCGTCTTGTGAGAGACTGACCATCGACTGGTTTGACCAAAACCACTCAACATTGCACCACCGGCCTTCGATATCGCGCCTACTGTTGTTGGCTGTCAATGCTCTTACAATCATCTCATGTCGATGTGGCATGAATCCGAGCCGGTCCCTTGATGGAAGAAAACGGGGTTTTGGATTGGAATTTGAGTGTCGAGAATCGGGGTCTTGTTGATGGCCATGAATACATTTTCACAATCAAAATTGTTGGTAATGCTCAATCCCACATAGTGCTGGAAACACTATTGGGAATGGTATTTAAGGCTTGACATTCCACTTCCTTGTTAAGTGATAGAGAACAAGGGGGGCTCTCGCGCACCGCCGCCGCCGTCCGTCTCGTCTCGTCTCGTGAATGCTTTCCGATCAGAAGTGCAATACCACCAGCAGTCCACTCCGGTTTCGGGTGTACGAAATTCGGAGCGACCATGTTAACCTCGGGGGACGGTCCGTCTACTGCAGCGCTGCAGCGATTACACACATCGAGGCGAATTCGTTTCTAAGGCAGTGGTTCTTACCACGACACGGTTTACGAATCTGTTCTTCTTAATTACTGTTTATATTTTCAGTCAGTGCTAACGGTGTAGTTTTGCAGTTCATATATCCAACAATTTAGAAACGAATTTCCATAAACTGCAATCATGTCGACACCTTTGAGCAAACTCATTCCCGATCTTTCCAAGCTCGATGCACTTGATGGAAAGAACTATAGAAGGTGGTCCCAAAGAATTCTGATATTCTTCGAGCAACTTGATCTTGATTACGTGTTGCTCAAGCCACCACCTACCATGCCGCCAACCCCAGCTGTCGGTAATGATGCGGATGTGGTCCTCAATGATGATGCCTTAGCAACTGCCGCCGCCGCTCTCGCTACCTACGAGAAATTCGAGAAGGATAACAAGACGGTCGAGAAGGATAACAAGACGGTACGTGGACATCTGCTCAACCACATGTCAAATAAACTATTTGATATGTTCCTTAGAGAAATGAGAGACTATACGGGAATGAAAGGGGTGTTCTTAGTCGATCTATAATTTATAACCCAAGAGAATATAAAAGAATATAGATGAACTGTTTGATCAACCGACCAAATATGCTTGATTAACATTTTAAATAAAATTAATAAAGATATTTTGAAATCAAGATTATATTTGATAATAAAAATTATCAAATTATAAACATAATCAACATAGTATTAAATATCTTATTGTGTTTAGTTCATTTAATAAATAATTAGAACCAAAAAGTTTGATGTATAGTCAATAAAATATAAAAATATTTAAAAGAATATTTCACTAAATTGTCTTGATAAAATTATCTATATATCTATTCAATCTTGTTACATTTTAAAACTGTTTCACAACATATGTTTAATTCCTAAATTAATAAATCAAGTCAATCTTTGATCAATTCCATAACACATACCCAAGTCTTCAATATCATCATAAGAGTTGCCAAGTTGATTACTATTTGAAATCACTAAAGCAATCTCATTGTTGTTAATGTCAGCGCTAAGTCCAGTGTCTTGTGACAGACTGACCATTGATAGATTTGACGGAAACTGCTCCACCTTGCACTGCTGGTGTTCGATATCACTTCTACCGTTGTTGGCTGTCAACGCTCTCACACTCACTTCGTCATCATCGGTTCGGAAGCCACTCGGACAGGAATCCGAGCTGGTCCCTTGATGGAAGAAGATGGGGTTTTGGATTGGTATCTGAGTGTTGAAAATTGGGATCTTGTTGATGGCCTTGATTTCATTTTCACAATCAAAATTGGGTTCCATGAGGGGAGGCAATGAAGCATGATCCATGAATTCATCCCAAATTGAGTTCATTCTTAAGAGGTGATCATGAATTGGGCTTTTCTTCATCTCTGTATTCTTATGAAAAACCCTAATAACAACCCATTCATCCTGTCACAAAGTGGTAAAAAAAAGAGATCAAATTAGTCCTTCAATTTCAAGAATAAATTAGTTTCATGTGAAACTTTATTTACACTACCTTTACACCATTGGGAAGATTATAGTAAGAGAATTTGCCTTCAAGCCTATATTCATGCATGACCCAATCTGTTTTCTCCCCTCTAGGAGCTCTCCCTAGGTAGAAAACAAGAGTCTTTTTCATCCCAACTAGACAACTTTTTCCTTCAAAAATCTCTTTATCTTTTCCGGTTGCCTTCCAATACCCAGCTTCGGTTGCTCGATTGGTCCTCATCCCGGTCCAATACTTCCTATCTCTTAGGCAAAAGAAATACCATTCTTTCTCTTCCGTTTTAGCTTTGCCTGTAAAAACCAAGTGCAATCAAACAAAACTAGATACAAACTGAACATAATGCAGTTATGCAAATACAAACTAGACTTTTACCCAAGCATCTGCAACTTCTTAGAGCTTTAGAAGATAGAGAAGGGTTTACCGGGCAAATCCCATGGTTCAGACATGTTCAAATCAGCTTCTCCAATAGCACATGCACTGAAGTTACTGTTCATCGTCTTCTGTAAAAGGTAATGAGTTATAATCTCCTCGTCTGTGGGAAGAAACCGAAAACCTGGCGGCAAATATACGAGGTCTTCTTGTCCTTTGTTAGCAACAATGGCGTCTTCCATGGAAAAACTATTCATTAATCAAGAATACTTTAGGAATGTATACAAATCAAAAAGAAACCCAGATTCAAAAAGGCTACGAATAATGCAAAGGAACTGCTGTGGAAAGCAAAAGAATTCTGAAGCTCTTTTTGCAGAAGAGAAGGCCGTTAAGAGAGTAGAATAAAAGGAGAAAGAAAGAGCTTAAATAGAGATAATGTTTGATTGAAAGATCCGTAGGCTCCAAGGCACCTTATCAAGGAAGCCTCATATGGCAATTCAATTTATTTATTTATTAAAATACTATTTATATGTTCAAAACCTAACCAAAAGTAAATACTGTTATTGCTGTTCTGGAAAGTTCTAAATTTTCAAGAAAATCACATTAATTAATATCTTCTTGAATATTCTATAATGGAAACCCCTCTATCTAAAACTGTTGATTTTTAATTTCAAAAAAAAATTGTTGATTTTTGTAGGAGTGAGTATTCGATCGAGTCGAGTCGATTCGAGTAAAAAATTTGAGTTATTTAAGTTGACGAATCATATTTTATAACTAGAACTTAACTTGAAATTTTTTCAAGTTAAGTCGAGTTTAAGAAATTTGAGTCGAATTATATGAATTTCTATGCTAAGTTTATTATAATTATTTATAGTATTATGGTAAAGATTGGTTTCAAATTTTTGATTTTTTCTAACTATATAAGATATATGTATTTCATATTTTTTTCACATTATACTGCTATTTAATATATCAAATATAATCTAAAATTATTAAATATATTCATAATATTACTTTTTTTTTTATTTTGAGGGTATAAAAGAGTCAAGGAATTGATGAATTTTTTTTGTAAACAATTACATTCAAAAAGGTTAAATAGAGTAAAATGCAATGTTAAGGGTCTAAATAAAATAGAGAGTATATTTTAATAAAAAAACAAGAATTGAAATTACATATGTATTGTATAGTGGTATATGAGTATGTGATTCAAATTGATATGTTGCCTAGCGTCTACAATCCATCCTGGTTTGACATGCTTCGGTTCCTTGCACAACATACCATTAACGATAATGAATGTTACTTTTAACATCATTGCAAAGGTTTTGAGATTCTGATCAGATGGTAGACTAGTTTTATAGGGATTCTGGTTCTTATATGATGATGGATAACTAGCCTACCATAAAGCTGGGGAAAAACCTTAACCTAAGATGGAATTGCATATAATATAAAAAGTGCAGTAATTTACACAGATTTCGATCTAGAGTTGGGTGGGGTGCGCCAGGCCCGAGCAATAATGGAACACTTGGCGACGCGTGAGAACTCCAATTGCAAGCAATCGTGATGGGTTCTCCCCCTAAAAAAATAAATTTAATATCATGTGGGCCGATGGCCCACGTATCAGATATTAAAATGATAAGAACAATAACTACACTTGATCTCCTGCCCAAACTGGCTTCTTTTAAATGCTGTCCAAACAGAAAATATAATTAGCCCAGTAGGTCACATTAGAGTTTATTTTGTATACGACAAATGTTACCGTATATGATAAACTTGTCATATCAACGTGACATGTTTATCAAAAAATATTTTTAATAGTCCTAAGTAAGTGGGTTTTATTTAGGTTAATATTATAATATATTTTCAGAGACTCATCACGTCATGTAAAGTATTTTTTATTTAATAATTAATTTAAATTTTATTTAAAAAAAAATGAAACTCACACGTCGAGATGAAGAGTTATCCTAGATTTTAAAAAATTAGTTATAGTCGTTGAACAACCGACAGTAGCAAGAGTCAGATTTCAACATACAAATTGAAACTCATCACGTCGAGCTGACGAGTTCTATGATATTTTTGAAAAATGTAGTTGTTTATAGCCGTAGTGTTTGAGGTTATAATTAGGGGATTGGGGTTTAGGATTTTTATTATGTATTGTTAAGGAAAACATTGAGAGAAATTTGTGTTTTTTTGAAGAATTCTTGAAAATCTCTATTCGATATGAAATGTTACGCTTTGATGTTGTCTATATTTCTTTGTTCAAGCTCACTCCGGAAGAAGAACATGGTATTTGACAACGAGGAATGACACTTAGAGATTCGTATCAATGGATTATTATATATCAACAACAATCCAGGCTATATCCAACCACATTTTTGCTTGGTTTTAAGGTGAATCGATATTGATTTCGACACTGATTAAATGTTAAAGGCCCGAAACACATACTTTCCATTTTCCAAATGGTGAAGCGATGATTACATTGGAAAATTTCACTTACTAACTCAGTGTTCCGGTTAATGGTGTAACACTAGTAAGGCACAATGATTTCAACTGATTCACTATTTTTCAGACAGTTTTGAGAAAGTTGCCACCACCAGATGTCTTAGAGGGGTATCAGATACTGATAACTTGGTTGGAGTGTGTTAAGAATAAAGAAGTTGTTTAGGTAGTTAGGAGTTAGTTAGAGAATGAGTTAGGCAGTTATATTGTAACTAGTCCTGTTGTAAAAGCTATATAAATGGTGTATATGAAGTAAATTAATATACAGAGGCTTTTCCAGTAGTTTTCCTGTTTTAACATGGTATCAGCCTAAATTCGATCCTTTCGCTTTGTGGCACTTGTTTTTGTTTTCCTTTCATTCTGCCCATTTTTCACCTTATTACACCATTTTCCCCAATTTCTTGTTTTCCCTCTTCTCTCAATGATGTCTTCTGCCGAGGAAATTGACTTCACTCACCTACTCTACCTACATCCGTCCGCTATGCCTGGGCTTCTGTTCGTCTCTCAACCACTAGTTGGCTTAGAAAATTACAACATTTGGAGTTGTTCAATGAAGATTGCATTGCTTGCTAAAAATAAGATAGGGTTCATCGACGACTCTTGTCAACGAAGCGATTATAGTGATGATTTGCAGGTGCAGTGGGATAGGTGTAATGCAGTAGTTTTATCTTGGATCCTGAACGCCGTCAGTAAAGATTTATCAGCTGGGCTAGTGTTTGCCTCCAATGTTGCTTTCGTTTGGAACGATTTACAGGAGAGGTTCGATAAGATTGATGGCTCTCGCATATTTTTTTTGCATCGAGAGATTGCTACACTTTGTCAAGGTGAATCTACAATTTCTGTTTTCTTCACTCGATTGAAAATGTTATGGGATGAGTACGAATCCTTGATCTCTTTTACTGCATGCAATTGTGAAGTTTCCCAGCAGAATATGAAACACCTTGTTCAGTTGAAATTGTTTCAATTTTTGATGGGATTAAATGATTCTTACTCGGCGATTAGAAGTCAGATTTTGCTTATGCAGCCCTTGGCAACAGTGAATCAAGCTTATTCCATGTTGATTCAAGAAGAATCACAGCGATCTCATCTTTCTGTAGCTGCTACACCTGATTCAATGGCCTTGTTCTCTAGTTCTATTGCTTCCTCTGAACGTAAAAGGTTATCTGGAACTTGTGATTACTACAAGATTAAACGCCACAAGAAGGATCAGAGCTATCGTCTAATTAGATTTCCTTCTAATTACAAGTTTACTAAGAAGAAAGCAGCTTCAAATGCTGTGGCAAATTCAATTATTTCTGTTGATTCGATGGCTACTTCCACTCGGTCCAGTTCTGTTCCTTCTACTCCACTGTTTACTCAAGAATAGTATGAACAAATTTTGCAGTTACTGAACAAGCTATCATCTGCAGAATTTGCTGTTAACCTTGTACATATATTTGCTAACAGCTCTTTACATTCTAATGTTTCACTTAAATGGATTGTTGACACATGAGCTACATACCATATTGTATTTGATTTTAAGAGCCTTAATTCTCCTATTCCTTGTGATTCTTCCACAATATTCATACATCTCCCTGATAGTAAAAATGTTCCTATTACTCACCTTGGTTCATGTTCTCTTACTTCGGATTATAACCTTGAAAATGTCCTCTTTGTTCCACAGTTTAAGCATAATTTACTTTCAGTATCTCGACTTACTCATGACCTTGGCTGCTCCCTTACCTTTTATCCTGATTTTTGCCTCCTACAGGATCTCTGCACTGGAATGATGAAGGGGATTGGTAGACAGTCTAGAGGATTATATTTTTTTGAGTCTACTTTTTGTTGAGTTAATCGATCGACGGAATCGGCCAAGAGGGGGGTGAATTGGCAATTAAAAATTTCGTGGAAGCTTTTGCAGAAAAATTGAAAGTAATTGCACGGCGATTTACAGTGGTTCGACTTTCTCAAACAAAGTCTACGTCCACTACCTTAGCTATCCACACTAAGGATTTTCTAACAAATTCACTAATTTGTTCTTTCTTTTGAGGCCAAAGAGATAACCTTACAAAATCCCTCAAGAGTATACCCCAACTCTTGAGAACACTCTTTTTCCCAAAGAGAAGATTACAAATTTGCAAACTTACAAGAAAACCTCACAAGGTAAGATGTTTGCACAATTCTAGAACAAGAAAAGAACACTCAAAGATAATTACAAATGAGCACAAATGGTGTTCTTGAAAGCAAAATGAATATTGAAAGGAAAATTGGCTTGATTTGCACAAACTTGGTGTTTGATGCTTTCTCTCTTGTTTCTCTATAATTTCCTGTTGATCAAGGGCTTCAGAACTTGTTTAAATACACCTTGAATCTCTTCTGAACGTTGGGGATGATTAGTGAAGATCATATAGCCGTTTTAGTGTGAAAACAATTAATAAAACAGTTTGGAGCGTGGGGGGAATCGGTACCCCCTATGGGGAATCGGTTCCCTAAGTGTAAAATTCAAATATTTCGACCGTTGAACAGGGGGAATCGGTTCCCTCCGAGCATTCTGGAAATCTCGGAGCCAAACCCTTCAGGGGGAATCGGTACCCCCTTGGGGGGGGGGGGAATCGGTTCCCTCTGAGCAATCTGGAATTTTTGGCTTTGAAATGGTTCGAAATACTTTGAAAGATTATTTTGAAATTGTTTTAAGATTAAAACTTATTTTTACACTTAAGTAAGGATTAAAAATGATTTTTGAAATATTTTGAGTAATGTTTTGATATTCGAATAATTATATCGAATATACTTAGAAAATCATTTTGGAAAATCTTAAAATTTATTTAACTTAATTTGTTATATCGAAATATCAAAATGTTTTCAACACTTTTGCTTCTGGTTTGTCTGTTCTTCAATCCC